GGTTTGCACGTTGTCCAAAATATTTGGGCAGAAAAGATTTGATTGAAGGATGGAGGCCAGGCGTGTGTCTGGAAGCAAACCACAACCATCTGTTTTTTTAGCTGTGACCCTTCTCCGCTTCTTCACTCATACGGGCAGATGTATTTGCAGCTGGCTTGGCTTCGTGTTTTCCTTTCTGTGTTCCATCACAAGGAGGGCAAAAGCACTTCCTTGTATGACCAATACTTTAGATACTTTAGAGCAGTATCTCAGAAACTCAGGATATCGTTGTGCTTTTAACAGCTGGTCAGCAATTGTGAGGTTGCCAAAAGGCAGTTAAGTGATTAAGATAAGCCATATTGGTTGGCTTAAGTGATTACGATAAGCCATATTGGTCATGGGAGACACATCTCCTGGGCTGGATGACGACCCGAACTTCCATGACTGAAGATCGGAGATTCTCCAGTACCAATCCATCTTAATGCTAGGCTGCATTAACAGAGGGATAGAATCAAGATCACGTGAAGTATTAATACCATTTTACAATGCCTTGGTAAGGCCACACTTGGAATACTGCATCCAGTTTTGGTCACCACGATGTAAAAAAGATGCTGAGACTCTAGAAAGAGTACAGAGAAGAGCAACAAAGATGATTAGGGGACTGGAGGCTAAAGCATATAAGGAACGGTTGCTGGAATTGGGTATGTCTAGTTTAACGAAGAGAAGGACGAGGGGGGACATGATAGCAGTGTNAATCAAGGAGAGAAGCAATCTAGAACTAAGGAGAAACTTCCTGACAGTGAGAACAATTAACCAGTGGAACAACCTGCCTCCAGAAGCGGTGAATGCTCCAACACTGGAAGTTTTTAAGAAGAGACTGGACAGCCATTTGTCCGAAATGGTATAGGGTTTCCTGCCTGAGCAGGGGGTTGGACTAGATGGCCTTCAAGGTACCTTCCAACTTTATTACCGGTATTACTATTACTATTACTACTATAACCATTACCCCAATGTTGGTTCTTTATTTTTATTCACAAATCAAATAGTTCAGCGTTGTAAGCATGCATATTCTGAACAGGACATGCAGTTCCACCATAAGAATTTTAAAATAGTTATATCGTCTCAGGCTAATACCAGTACCACTGATCTAGGGTGTGGTTCTTAGAAAGGGCAAGCAGATACTTCAAAGGTCTCACAACTGGGAGAGAGAGAGAGATGCTCTTCTTCTTGCCTTCTTCTCCTACAACTGGTGTTTATGGCCACCAACCTGGAGGTAACACTGAGTCCTGAAGACCAACAAGCCTTGATAGATATCCTCCATGAATTTCTCTTTGAATCAGAATAGAGCTGGAAGGGACCTGGGAAGTTTTCTAGTCCAGCCCCCTGCTCAAGCAGGAGACCCTATACTATTTCAGACAAGTGACTGTCCAGTCTGTTCTTAAAAACCACCAGTGATGGAGCACCCATGATTTCTGAAGCTGTTATACTGGTTAATTGTCCTCACTGTTAGCAAGTTTCTCCTTAATTTCAGGTTGCTCCTCTCCTTGATTAGTTCCATCCATTGTTTCTTGTCCTGCCTTCAGGTGTTTTGGAGAATAGTTTGACCCCCTCTTCTTTGTGGCAGTCCCTCAAATACTGGAATTCTGCTATCCTGACACTCCTAGTCTTTCTTTTCTCAGTGCCTGCAAGCATTCTTCATATGTTTTCATCTCTAGGCCTTTAATCATCTTAGTTGCTCTGCTCTGCACTGTTTCCAAAATCTCAACATCTTTTTTTGTAATTTGGTGACTAAAACTGGATGCAGTATTCCAGGTGTGATCTTACTAAGGTTTTATAAATCGGTACTGATACTTCATGTGATTTTGATTCTGTGCTTCTGTTTATACAACCAAGGATTGTATTAGCTTTTTTGGCTGCTGCCGCACACTGCTGGCTCATATTTAAGTGATCGTCCACTAGGACTCCAAGGTCCCTCTCACAGTTACTGTTTTTGAGCCAGGTTTTACCTAATCTGTACTTGTACTTTTGGTTTTTCCTGACTAAGTGTAAAACCTTACGTTTCTCCACATTAAGTTTGATTTTGTTAGATAAAGCCCAGTGTTCAAGTCTATGAAGATCCCATGCTGGCTGGGAATTCTAGGAGCTGAAGTCCATATATCTTAAAGTTGCCAAAGCTGACAAAAATAGGCCTGTGTAAACTTGAAGCTGGTTCCACTAAAACCAATTGGGTAGGGGGCTTAAAATATATGTTCGCTGAGGACTAAAATAACTCCCTTGCATCTGCCCTCATTTGAGTAAGCCAACGGGGCTTTGGTTTGTCGCAAAAATCTTTCCAAGTAAGGTTACTATTTCCTAAATATAAGATTTCTTTTAAAATATGCCCCAACATGCCAATTTTGGCTATGCCAAAGTGATTCAAAGATTGGAGAAAAAATGAATTTTTGGCCGCCAGTGTGCATTTTTATGTCTACAAGCTACAAATCCTTTATACAGACTTTACTCATAAGCTTATTTTTGAAGAGACTTGCTTGAAGAGAGAGAAAAATGAAACCAGCTGCCTTTTTTAAATAATAAAAATAAAAATGAGGAGCTTTGGGTCTGAAGATGCATGCATCATTTAAGGAACAGGACCTCATCCAGAAACCTAAAGAAAATTAGCATTGTTTGGGCTGATAGATTGTAAAACATGCATTCATCACCAAGAACAGTAGGAAAAATATTTAATTTTTCCACTTATATAAAAACTTACAATTTAACCTAGGGCTCTGTAAGAGAATCTGGCAGATTAAGATAGAATAACAACTTCTCAAGGACTAGATTGCTTTTTTAAAGCAAATCTTATTTTAATAGCTATATTTTTTATAGTTTTTATAGATTTTTTTTAAGCCAGATAGGTTTAGTATTAAGTGTTTTATTAAGTTATTTTTACTGAAGGTTGTTTTAATGTTGTTCTTCCTTTTGTACTCTGCCCTGGGCTTTTTCGGGAGAACAAATGGTATAAATATAAAACTAATAATGCTAAGAAATAATAATTCTGAAAGAAGAGAGAATGACCTGCAGCACATTCTCCTCTCTACCACGCAATGACAAATAATATTAAACCACCAGCAATTCGGGGTACAAAGTTTTCCAAGATCCAATTTTGGTTCAAATGTCTTATGAGCTCACAAATTTCCTTCATTCGAAATGAAGGCTCTAAATAAATTGCACGTTGAATAAATCACACACAAGATAAAATAAAAGATTTGCCTTCCCCTCTAATGCTGTCATCCCAATGGTATTATTATACCCATGCCAGGAATAGCGCAACATGGAAACGGTTTTGTATGGGCAGCGGTCAGCATAAGGGATGGTAGATAAATTGTGGTTTTGTTTGATGGAGACGTGCCTCCTATAATTGTTAGAGAGCCAGTTTGGTCTAGTGCAGGAGTAGGCAACCTTGGCTCTTTTCTGAGTCGTGGATTTCAACTCCCAGAATTCCTGAGCCAGCCATGCTGAGGGGAAAGGGAAAGGTTTCCAAGCTGAGGCATGCTGGCTCAGGAATTCTGGGAGTTGAAGTCCACGAGTCATAAAAGAGCCAAGGTTGCCTATCCCTGGTCTAGTGGTTAAAGCACCAGGCTAGAATGCAGGAGATCGTAAGTTCAAGTCCCGCCTCAGACATGGAAGCCAGCTGGGTGATTGGGCCAATCACTCTCTCTCATCCCAACTCACATCACAAGATTATTGTTGTGGGGAAAATAGGAAGAGGAAGGTACGTTGGACCTATTCGCCACCTTGAGTTATTTGTAAAAATAATAAGGGCAGGATATAAATAAATAAACGGTGTTGAAGAAGACTCTTGAGAGTCCCTTGGACTACAAGGAGATCAAAACAGTCAATCCTTGACTCAATAATGAATTGAACATGTTAAAGTAGTAAGATGATGTTTTTGTGTGATAATATGGGTGTTTTTAGGCATGATAATTACTTGGATGAAATTTGAATCTTACCTAACAGAATGAAATGATTTAAGATTTGATATTATTTTGCTAGGTTAAAGAGATTGATTGATTGATGGACTACATATGTATAGGGTAGACTAATATTTTATTTTAATCAGGATACATAGTGTGTAGTGGAAAAAGAAATAAACAAGACTTGTGATAAAATTAAGGACTTAAGAGATCAGAACTAGAATATATCTGGAAAGGATACCTGAAGTGATAATGCGTTTATTTAAGGTTAAAGTTGACTATGGTAACTGTAAATTTATAAGGCTTAAAAACAGGTTTAGAATTTATAGAAATTTAATCTAGAAATGGATTATTTTAAATATATTATGTTATTTGAGGGAAATAGAGAGGGAATATTTAATGTATTGATTTGAGTTATTCATATATGATTTTATTTTTGGATGTTTGATTACCCCAGCACCACGGTGTGTCTCAAGCACTTTGTTCTAAGAAACAAAAAACCAATAAAATATGTTTTTAAAAAAACAAAAACAGTCAATCCTAAAGGAAATCAAGCCTGGCTGTCCTTTGGAAGGACAGATACTGGAGCTGAGGTTCAAATACTTTGGTCACCAAATGAAACGAGAGAAGACTCCTTGGAAAAGATCCTGATGTTGGGAAAGATGGAAGGCAAAAGGAGAAAGGGAATGGCAGAAGATAAGAAGGATAGATAGTAGATAGTGTCATCGATGCAATGGACATGAATTTAGATAAACTCTGGGAGACAGTGGAGGACAGGATGAAGGCTGGCCTGCTAGGGTCCATGGAGTTGCAAAGAGTTGGACACGACTTAGCGACTGAACAAACAAATTGCTATGAACAAAGAACACAGAGAAATAATAAGTGGAGCTTCAGTCCCAAACTCAGAAACAGTTTCTCTGTGATCTCTCTGGCTCGGTTGGAGGTGCAAATGAACAAATTATTCAGAGAAAGGATGACAATGTAATGGCGATTTAATCCAAGTGAGCATGTACCAATGACCAGGTCACCGGCACCTTCCTTGAGCATAGAAAAAAAGGACTGACTCACCTCTATCCAAGCTGCGCATACTTTCATCCAGATGCAGGTCAAAAATCCGTACTTCGGCAAGGTTGGGCTCTTGTTCCAGAAGCATTTCAACCAGATGTTTTCCCAGGAAACCACAGCCTCCCGTCACCAGATAGATCTGGTTTTGGCTAGTCAACTTCATCTGTGCTGGAAAGGGAGAACCAAAGAGCACACTTAAATTGGGACTACAAGAAGTTGGAACGAGTGGAAGAGGCAAAGGAACAAAAATAGAAATAGTAGAATCCAAGGCGGAGATTAAGAATATGAAATCAAGAGCAATCGTAAGAACCGCACGTGTCACATATGGGAAAAAGGAAGGACCCTGAGGCTATACTCCAGAAGGAGGGGGGAAGGAGCAAAAAATAATAATAATGAACCACTGGAATGTATCTCTTCTTTCACACTGCTTCTAGGAAAGGTGCTGACTTTCCAAGTGGCATTTTCCAAACAGAAAGGCAGTGAACCAACAGTCACGGATCATTGCTGCCTTTCATGCGATTGCTCCTAGAGACTGTCTCTATGTTAGAGTTGGCGTCACTGCTGTCTACCAGAAGGACAATAGCTCTCCTACTTGTCCAAGTTCTCAAATTTTCAGTATTTCCCTAAATTGTTTGTTTTGGAGCTTCTGGATATAGGCTATAGCAGGGAGGAAAAATGGATTTGAATCAACTATTAATCATACTAAAAAGCAGAGACATCACCCTGCCAACAAAAGTGCATATAGTCAAGGCCATGGTTTTCCCAGTTGCAATGTATGGCTGTGAAAGCTGGACCATAAGAAAGGCTGAGCGCCAAAGAATTGAGGCCTTTGAACTCTGGTGCTGGAGAAGACTCCTGCGAGTCCCCTGGACTGCAAGGCGTTCAAATCGGTCAGTCCTAGAGGAGATCAACCCCGACTGCTCTTTAGAAGGCCAGATCCTGACGTTGAAACTCAAATACTTTGGCCACCTAATGAGAAGGAAGGACTCACTGGAGGAGAGCCTAATGCTGGGGAAGATTGAGGGCAATAGAAGAAGGGGACGGACAGAGAATGAGGTGGCTGGATGGAGTCACTGAAGCAGTAGGCGTGAGCTTAAAGGGACTCCAGAAGATGGTAGAGGACAGGAAGGCCTGGAGGAACATTGTCCATGGGATTGCAACTAACAACAACAATAATTAATCATAGTTTCAGTTGGGAAACTGTGGCCATCCTAGAGCAAACCAAGTCCCAAAATGCTAGGGAATTTCTAGAGGCCTGGCCCTAGCTATCAATAGACGCGTAGACATGGACAATACCTATAGACTGTGCAAAAGAGATAATCAACAAGAAAAAGGGAAACAAAGAGCACCTCTCCACCAGCAATCAGCACCCAGTTGAGCATAGATTAACACCAAGATTAACAAGTAAACACTACCCCAATCAAGGAACTGCCAAACAAGCCAACAGTGGACAGCCCAACCAAAGAACCACGCCAGGGCACACCACTAGAATATAAACTGAGAACAAATCCCATTCCTTACTAGCATTGATGATGTAACCTAGTTTGGGTAATGAAAGGACTGCAAAGAAAACCAAAGTCAGAGAGTACTAAAAACCCCATGAATCAACCCTAATTGCAGGGTGTGTGTGTTTGTGTGTTTGTGCTTCTCCAATTAGTGCCTCATTTAGGGCTGAAATCCAGGCCATTATTTACGAGTCAGGAAGCTTACCATAATGCCTCCATTTACAGTCAAGTGCTGTGTGACTTCGTCCTTGAGACATAATCAAAAGAAATATTAGACCACACTAGAATGACAACTCTGCAACACATTTGTAGCAAGCTATTCTTCTGGGTTCTTAGTCTACATCAGGGGTCTTCAAACTTGGCCCTTTTACGACTTGTGGACTTCAACTCCCAGAATTCCTCAGCCAGGCAAGCTGGCTGAGGAATTCTGGGAGTTGAAGTCCACAAGTCGTAAAAGGGCCAAGTTTGAAGACCCCTGGTCTACATATTCAGGCATTCCTCTACTTACAACCATTCATTTAATGACCATTCAAAGTTACAGTGGTACTGAAAAAAGGGATTTATGACCAGTTTTCACACTTGCAATCCCTGGAACATCCTCACAGTCACGTGATCAAAATTTGGGCACTTGGCAACTGGCATGTATATAAGACAGCTGCCCTGTCCCGGGGTCCTGTGATCACCATTTGTAACCTTCCCAGCCAGGTTCTGACAAGCAAAGTTAATGGGGGAATCGTTGACTGTGTGCAATTCACTTAACAACTGTGGCAAGACGGTCATAAAATGGGGCAAAACTCATTTAATAACTGCCTTGCTTAACAATAGGATTGTTGGGCTCAATTTTGGTCATAAGTCGACCAAACTAACCTTTTTTTAAAAAAAAACAAAACCAAAGAAGAGGACTTCGAAGAAGTTTAGATTAATCTGCCTTTGTTCTGGTCTTCCAGGTCTTTTTCCTTTCATTTTTATCACCCTGTCAACAGTTCGAAGAACACGTTTTTCCTCCTATTTTTGTATATGCCCCCCAAAAAACCTCTCTACGATATCTTATTTTGCTCTAGAACAGGGCTTTTCAACCTTTTCACCCACTGTACCACTTTTAGGATATGGCAATATCCGAGTATCACCAGTCGCCTAGGAAGGTGTCAAAAACTTGATGATCAAAAAAAAAAAGAGGAAATAAGTGATAAAGTACAGGTAGTCCTCGACTTACAACAGTTCGCTTACTGACTGTTCGAAGTTACAATGGCACTGAAAAAAGTGCCCCCCAAGCCACAGCCGAGCAAGACACCTGCCTGCCCACCCGGTGGCGCTCTTCCTCCTGTCCGAGGTTTTCATTGTTGTGAGCATTTCTGTTGAGAATTGGCAGTGGGGGTGGGGTGGGGGGTGTTTGGTTTTTATTCCCCCCCGTCTGCTGGGTGGTTGCAGCAGGTTTTGGTCACTTCACATGACCCTGGGACACTGTGACCGTCATAAATATGAATCAGTTGCCAAGCATCTGAATGTAAATACAAGACCCAGGAGATGCTGCAACATTCCAGCTGATCGGTGCTTCTTCTGGGCTCAGCAGAAGCACCAGGATCAGTGCCGAGCTCCAGCTGGAGCCTGGCGCTGATCCTGGCGCTTCCGCTGAGCCCTGACAGTCCTGAAGAAGTGCCGATCAGCTGGAAAGCGGCACTGATCCTGGCGCTTCCGCTGAGCCCTGACAGCCCTGCAGCTCCAGCCATCTCTCGCTCAGGCTTGTGTGGTGCTGCCACCGGTTCAGCTCATTTCCCTCCCCCGCTACCACTTTTCTAGGATGGTTGCGTACCACCTGCCAGGTGCCAATGTACCACAGGTGGTACCCGTACCACTGGTTGAAAAGCCCTCCTCTAGATGTCAAAAAATATACATTTTAAAAAGGATAAAAACCGCCTGATCAATGCTAACGCTGTGCAAAAAGGAAGACTGGCTTCCTCTATTTTGAACGTTGGCCGCAAGCAAGATGCTACCGCACAGCAGTGTTTTCTCAGCCTTTAAGATGTGTGGACTTCAACTCCCAGAATCCCCCAGCCACCATCGTCAGCAAGAAGGGAAGCCAGATCTTTAAAAATACACCTGTCTTCTCCAAGGCACTACCTTTCAGATGTAACCCCCCCAGAGGAGAGAAAAGATGCTAGCTAAGAACACAAGGGGGGGGGGGAAGCAAACTCAGACAAGCAGGCTGTAAACAAAACACAAAACCAGATTTCCCTTCACCAAAACGAGTCAGATGACATTCTCCTTTTAACAAGTGCAAAACAAAAAAAGGAGAAAGAGCAAATCCACCATGAATATTTCTGGTATTCAGGTCAACATGGGTGGTGGTTTCCTAACCTCAGCTTCCGGATGCTTTCTGGAGAACCACGGTCAAGGATGTCCAGAGAGAGATCTTTGGGCTGAACCCACCCGGGAGGGATCCAGTCCAGCTGACAGGAATGCGAGCACCTCAGCCAAACTCTGTGCTGTACTGCCAAGTGGAACCTCCCAGCCTTTTCCCAATTATTGGATCATCTGAGGTAACTGGAACACCAAGCTAAGCCTCTACCGACAGGCAAATAAGGACAAAAAGAAGGTATTTCTGATTTATTTTTATGTATTTATTTCTGTAGATTTATATGGCTGCTCACTCATTCTCAGTGGTTATGGGCCGGAATGGGACAACTCGCCTCAGCCAACTCGCCGTGGGACAATTCAAGAATTCAATTTAATTATTTGAAATAGTTAAAACGTTATTTTAATTTTTGTCATTCACATTTCATTTTGTCCATCCTTTGGCATCCTTTCATAGTAATAGTAATAGTAATAGTAATAGTAATAGTAATAGTAATAGTAATAGTAATAGTAATAGTAATAGTAATAGTAATAATAATAATAATAATAATAATAATAATAATAATAATAATAATTGGAAGGGACCTTGGAAGTCATCTAGTCCAATCCCCTGCTCAGGCAGGAAACCCTATACCAGTGTTGGTGAACCTTTTAGAGACCGAGTGCCCAAAAACTGCCCACGCGGCCACCCACCGCCTCCACGGCCCGCTGCAGATCACCCGGGTGGCCCAGCAGCGCCATGGCAGCCACACCCTCTGCCCGCACCCCACAGCATCAACTGCATGCAACGGGTGCAAGGGCAAAGTCTTGGCTGCACTGCTCCATGCAGGCTGCGCTCGGGGGTGATTCTCCTCTGGGGGGGCTGCTAGTGAGGAGGGGGCCACGGGGGAGGAGGGTCTGGGGTGATGGCGCACGTGCCCACAGAGAGGACTCTGAGTGCCGCCTCTGGCATGCGTGCCTTAGGTTCGCCCTATACCATTTTGGACAAATGGCTGTCCAATCTCTTTTTAAAAACTTCCAGTGTTGGAGCATTCACCGCTTCTGGAGGCAGGTTGTTCCACTGGTTAATTGTTCTAACTGTCAGGAAATTTCTCCTTAGTTCTAGGTTGCTTCTCTCCTTGATTAGTTTCCATCCGTTGCTTCTCGTCCTGCCTTCAGGCGCTTTGGAGAATAGCTTGACTCCCTCTTCTTTGGGGCAGCCCCTGAGATATTGGAACACTGCTATCATGTC